TTGTTAATGTTTTCAATATATCAAAATATTAATTACTAGTTTTACATCTATATTGGATTGTTAAAATCATAGATTATATTAGTCTTTTAATTCTTAAACGGTTTTTCTATCATATTGTAAATCGTCTAATATTATGTTATCGTAATTCATAGCGTAGTCAAAGCTTAAATGAGCTTTGGTTTATCTGTAACGTTAAACGTTTATAGCTAGGTTCGACGTGAGAGCTTTAGTTAAGCTGAAGTCGTTTGAACGTACCAAGCTCATCAAACTAAAGTTTAGCTATAACTTTAGCGTTCTGTGAGCTGTGAGGGAAAAGCGACACGTTCTGCGCTCCGCCGACAATACTGAGGGTCTGTTACAAATAGTTGCGTGACCGTTGCTAGAATGTATTCGTAATGTCAACGAAAAGGGCGTAAAGTACACCAACAAATCTCATAGAAATTGTGTCGATGAAGTTACGAAAACATTCTCGCGTACGTTTGTGATAATCCCTCTTGTTTCTTTTCGACACGTTCGCGTCGCGCGCCGTACAATCGTTGCTTACGTCTGCGATGTCGAGAAACGTAAATATTTTCCCGCCACAAATTCAACTGTAATATTATATGTATAAGAGCAGAAGCATTTATTTTACTTCATTTAGTACAGCGTAAAGATTTTGGTGTAAGGTAAAGATAATTTATAAATACAAAAAGAATATACTAATGTTTAGTTGAGGTACAGAAGTAATTGGTATGGATAAAAATTGATTCTACTCCCGCATGTGTTGCTAACTATTATGAACTCTTTGCGTCTTTATTCAGTTATCAAGTGGTATTTCGAGAGTCGTCGCTGGCTGCCTAGATTACTACAACTATTCAACGACGCGATTATCATGACTTTCCTACTACACTTGCAGAGTGTATGTTTTGGCTGCTACAAATGGTAAACACGTTTTGTTTATGATTACACACCTTACATATGTGGTGTTGCAAAATAGCTTGTGCACACAACTTTACGCGGCAGATACGAGGCAATTTGATAAGCTATCGTCAAAGCAATGCTTTGGAATAGCTTGTAGCGGGACTGTGTTTGTCTTAGTTTTGGAATGAGAAGAATTTTGTGGACAAGTAAATCAGCTCTGAACTGGTTCAAATGTTCAGTTCAGGCAGATTTAAAGTGTTGAGTTTCAGTTAAAAACGAAATAACAGCTCATAGCTCAATGTGATGTACGGATAAATATGTAAGTTTACAAGCCTGGAGATGTGTGGTGATATTACGAGTATAAAGATACAAATTGAAATGAGCTGCTAGCCGATTTACACTAGATCTATAAGCTGATCTGCAGATCATCAATTTTAGTTGATTAACACATGACTACTATTTTGGATAGTTTTTAAAAAACACGTCGACCGATACATTCCTTGAATAACTGTCTATGTTCACTGCAAGATTAGTTGATTATTTCTAGGATTTGAGACTTAGCATCCATCCAGAATCCATAATAGCTTTATGTTTATTGTTTTTAATATAAAATTAAATAATGGTTTTTAGAAGTTTTATTAGTCATCGTTGCTTCCTTAATTGATAAACACATTAAATATTTTTCTCCGATAGAAATAAAACTTGTTTCTGTTGCTAAAAAATAACCTTCACTATTTGAATAAATTTTAAAACCGGATTCGAATCGTGCGTTATTGCAAATTTATGAAAGGTTATTTATTTTCACTAGTCTTTGTACATTGTGTGCATCTTCCTTCATTTCTTTATAAGGTTTTAATTTAAAACTCTTTGGGTATTAAAATATAGTAATTTGGATACTAGAGAAAAATTAGCTTTTCATGAAATTGTTGACGAAGAGGATTGTATTTTGTTCAACACAATTAAACAGTTTACGCCCACCCATAGTATCGAAGTCTGTTTTTACTCACTTCCGCAAATGGTCCGTATGATATTTCATATATGTGCTGATAAAATGTGAGTGTATAATATGATGACCGCAGAGTGGACGATACATACATACAACTGTATGTAAATATATACATACAGACACGGGATAAACCGCCGACAAAGGCATGCCACGTGTTTTTTCAATGCACTACCAGACGAATTCGTTTCATAGAATGTGTTTTTATGTTTAAATAAATGGTTATTAGTACTATAGGGACGTTAGATAATATAGTTAGTTATTTCAGATTTTTGCCTGTAATTGGTAAAACCTGATTTCTCTTATCAACACCAGAGATGAGCCATTTTCAACGTTTCATTTAAATATAAATATATTTTTTTTTGTGTGGAATTTTATTCAACGTTAAAATAATAGAAAGGCTGCACCTTTGTCAGTGAACACATTATGATTTCAATGTCCATGAAAAGGTGGGGTATAAAAATGATACTTTAATTAGTTACTAATGAACAGTAAATAATGTAACGGAATATTGCGTTCGCAAAAAAGATCGCACCATTAAGTAGTGCTAATGTGGGCTTTTAAAAATTCGTTCAACTGATTACGTTTATAATAATTTATTTAGGTTCATATTTAAAGTTGTTTTTCGTAGTTGAATTGCGCGGGATATTAGTTTTAAAGGTTTGAATTGATTTTGTATCATTTTAAAGCAATATTCCAATTATAAGATGGAGAAAATAAGCATGTTTCAGACTTCTATTCTTGTATTGACATTTAATATTGTATTGCTATGCTTATTGGCAAAACTGTCACATCAATGTTTATGTGCTGTTGTTTCGGTAGTGTAAACGCACGTTTATAAAGTTTTAAAATCCATCAAACATTGACGCTTTATGACACATTCTAAACACCGTTTAATGCGTCCAAGCTATTTCTGAAGCGACCTACATTGATGTGACGCGTGATATAATATTTAACACGCAAAGGTTTCGAGATAATGGGGTGCAGTGACCCGCTGGAGCTAAATTAACGGAACGGAATGCGATATTTCGCAAAACCACGCGAAATGTTACGCCGAAGACGTTACAACGCGAATTAGCCGCACTTTATGACTAACGCGAAGATGGTTACCGACTGTCAAAGTCACAAGTTACCTTCATCTTGAATTCCCGTACACGCAACCGTTAAATGAAGATGTTTTGATGTACAACCGTTTGTTCGATTTGCAAAATTTAGATATTTGTGCTAATACTAATGTTATAAATCCGAAAGTTTAGATGGATGGATGTTTGTTAGAGTTTGTAGCATAAACTGCTGAACGGATTTCGACGAAATTTGCCATAGATGTAGAGGATAGCATTGCATTTGTTTTTACTGATTCTGCGCGGATGGAGTCGCAGGCGAAAGTACGAAGGACTTATTTGATTGTGTTTACACTGAAATTATGAAAGTGGCTTAGATTAAAAAACCATTTGGCAAAAACAGAAAATCACCTTTGACACGCGAAACATTGTAATCAAGTTTGAAAGCAATTTGGTGTGTTAATTTCAATTTTCATTTTAATTTAATTTAATTATTGTGATAATTATGTTATTACATTAATACATTAGTCGACTATCTTTTTATGTCACAACAAAAGCGGGATGAGCCTGTCACGAGTCGCGGGGGTGAATGCACTTTGTAAAGTCGCCTGTTAAATAATCCCTGTATTTGCATATCCGAATCATTATGATGCATCCTAAAATCAACGTTGCGTCCTTGTCTTTAGAATTCCTTTTTGGAATCATGCCTAAGGAGGAATTTCCTTGTTGTTTTTTTTTTCTTTAACAAAAGGAAATTCTTTCGCTTTGAGCGTCTTTACGTAACTTCTGAATAATTTAAATAAATTTTTAAACTTTAACATTGTTTTCGCATAAATTTAAACATTTTTTTTATGTCTACGATTAACGTAGACGCTAAGATGTACGTTTAATCCACAAATATAGTTGCCTATTGGATAAAAAGGCATACGTTCATAAAAACGATAAATAAGCATTAATATGCATTAACAAATAAAACAAAACACAAGCGATACAGTAACTGGCATGACAGTTCGGATGTGTACTGTCTCGCTAAATTACACCGTAGTCATGTGTACGAGCGTAAAATTGTTCACGGGATGGCGAGGTCAACGACCCGATGAAAGGTGTACCAGGGGTGGCAAACATTGATTAATGTTAAATATTATTATTGACAGATATAATGAATTGTATACGTATTTATAAGTATGTGACAAGGCGACAATGATTATCTAAAGGTAAATTATATTGGTTTAACTGATTAATAATTTTATTGAGACTGCGTTTCAAAAGGTTCAGTACCCCATTGGTATCGCACGACAATCCCCGGTGACGAGTCTGCGACATGTGTCATGCTCTTTCAGACGTCAGGGGGCCTATTTGCATGTCATTCGAAATGAGACGTCGACTAAAGGAAATCGTCTAATGGGATGCAATCTTTTTATTCTATGTTGACGAGATTGAGCAATCGTTTGTAGAGATGCGGTATTTGTCTCATGTAGATCGAAACGGGAGTGAATTGGACACGAAATTGTAACGGTGATTTGTTAGCGACTATATTTTGTAGTGAATTTGCCGTTTTAAATGGAGGTCTTAACAGATCCATAATGTACTACAATACATGTAGATCATGGTCAAAAATATTTACACTCTTTATTACATTTTTAAATGTCGGAATCTGTAACTTAATTAAAAATCTTAAAATCCCAGAGTATAAAACAATACAGAGAGTACAGTTAGCTCCCACACTAAAGGTTATACAAATTCAATTAACTCGAATAATAATTGGGAATCACTTTGTCTCGGCTTTTATACAAACAATAAGAGGCCGCTACTAAATCAAATCTCATAGCTATTTCAATAAAACGTATCTACAGAATTACTTTCATTATATCAAGGCAATTTAGATATTATTTTTTTAACTTAGTTTAATTTTTTAAGTACAGATTTTTTTGTTAGTAAAAATTATGCAACATTTTTGACAGTTTTATGTTGTTAGTACTTTTATAATCTGTGGAATATGTGTCATCTTTCTAATTTATTACCCTATCCTGTTACAGATGACAGCAGCAGGGAGGAAGTCACGTCGGAGCAGCAGGTACGCACGTTTTTGTCGTATTATCATTAACTTAAATTACTTTATTAACGTGCAAAAACGTAACACTAATGCCGCCACGACGTGTGGTCGTGTGGACTTTGTCGGCTGTTCTTTGACATGATTTTTTTTTACTCAGTAAGTTATTTTTTAACTTAAATTAACTGTATCTCTTAAGAATATAAGTACGTATTTCTGTACATTCAGATATATTGAATACAGATAGGACCAAAGCAACGGTTAGCTGTACAGTCGTGAAATACGAACAGGAAAATTGTAACACAGCGGCCCACATACATTTGATTTATTATCCAACGAGATGCCGTGAAGAGTATCCAAGGTTCTAAGGGCGGCTGTTGTTTGCTATGCAATTATAACAGCAGTATGCTAGCCACAGATTAGATACGGACAGAGATATCGCGAGCCCTGCGTATCGCTGGCCCAATTAGGGAGTTATCTGATTCTCTGTGGAGATAGTGAGACTGTTCTGTGAGTTGAGATAATTTCCTATTTGGCCTTCAATTAACTGTGTTGTTTTTACATTACCGTGATATAGACAAAGTAATATTGACATTGCATTAAAGAAATTATATAATACAAGAATATTTTTAAATTTAACGCTTAGGGGCAAGCTAAGTTACAATTAAATAATTGTGCGTGAAGCTGTAAACTTTAATTTCAGCTTACGTGCTATAAACAAAATTAACGCATTGCTAATGCCGAATGCATGTGTTAATTACTCCGGTTGCGTTGGCTGTAAACATAAACGGTTCCTTGTTAATTTCGCTCTGTGTTTATTTTAAATGGTTTCGATTTACAATTTATTACCAACATAATTCTGTCTTGTATTGTAAACAGTTTTCTTCTACAAATAGACTATTCTGACTTGACCTATATAAACTAATATTATAATAATGGTAACATCCGCAATAAAAGTTTCACATATGTACAGTCGGGGAAACTGGCGGTTCCATCTTAAAAACTACATTTGTTTGAACATTTTGAAACAAGACGCGGAACAAAATACAACGCTGGTTATAAATGTGTCTACGAAAAAAGTCTGTTATCGATTCAGGGCTAGTTTCGTTTTTTACCATCCCTTCGTTTGCAATCACTGCTATCTAATTAGTTATTTGTAGAGGTAGGTGGAGTTTGTCTCTTTGCAACGATCAAGGCTATTTGTCTTAAAGTGAAACACCTCGGATTTACGCGATTGTACATACATATGTTGTGTTATCTATGTAGATTAAGATGGCCCTTTCTGACTGCTATTTCCGCTATGTTACTGTTAATTTTTAATTTACCTAGTTATACTGGTTTACTGTGTCAGTAGTGTCAAGTTTTATATTTTTTTAACTCAATTTTCTCTATAGATAAACATCAACGTATTTCTTATATCGTGTTATTAACTCTACATTTACATATCTGTTTAGCGGGCGTTTTATAATAATTTATATTAATGTAACGAAATTATAAAATATTGTTTTGAAATCGTTTATTCTTCTCTAATTGTTGTGAACCGGTGAAATTGTTTTCGTGTTAAATCACGGGGTAATTTAAAACACGTAAAGTCCGGTATTAAATCTAAGGTGGGCAGGATATTAAGCTTTTAGTATGTTTGACTCAAGCGGTGACAAATTTGTCTCAGTCGTGGGAAGGTCGTTTGGTGCGGACAAGTCTCAACAGCCTTTGCTCTTTAAAACACTAGCGTAGGATGATACAATTTATTACTCTTATACAATTTGGTTTATTGTTTTATCAAACTTTTAACGAATATAAATGTTTTCATTTAGAGACAACTTAATGTTTTACTATGTGAATGAACATTTATAGTGTTGTGATTAAGATATGGCGTGAAACTGCTGTAAATCGATTACAATAAAAAATCTGAAAGCCAACTATAATAACTATGAATGTCTTAGTAAAAGAAAGAATGCGTGGAAATCTTTGGAGGAGGCCTTTGACTGTAGACAAGTTTTCCGTAAAAACAACAAAAAAAGTAACAAATTTGATTTTTAGCAACTAGGCATTTAATAGGAAGTGTAAAATGTAAAGCAATAAAGACTGTTTTATTTTATTTTTTATTAATATTTTAACACACACTCATTACATATCAAACTATCTTAGATTATAAATATTTTCATGCACTTATCCCTGGTTTATTATGAAGTAGTTATAACCACAAATATCAATATTTGTATTCAATATCAAGTAGCCGGCTCAAGGATACAAGCGGTCTAGGTTCAATCACATCGAATGCGGTGAATGAAACAAAACCCCGCCGATTTGATGTTACGTACTTTTCTAATATAGACCTGGAAAGCGGGGACCTTTGTAATTTGTTAAGGTTTTACTTAGAACAGGAATGTAAGGAAGCAGCGTCTAGGGCTGCTTTTTACGCGAATGCAAGGGGAAAGTGAATCGATTGACTCTATCGCCCTGACGGTCTCCTAATGATGCAGGAAGCGAGATATGCTAATTGAGTTTTTGTCCATGTGGTAGGTCTGTGGGAATTTCATGCCTCTAGTAATTGAGTTGCATATTTTTATCAATCATACTTCATACTAATATTATAAATGCGAAAGTTTAGATGGATGGATGTTTGTTAGAGTTTGTAGTCTAGACGGAGGAACGGATTCCTATGAAATTTGGTATGGATGTAGAGGATAGTTTGGAAGGACACATAGGCTACTCACTTTTGTTTTTTTTTAATTCCACGCGAATGGAATCGCGGGCGAAAGCTCCTATTTATAATATAAAAAGGAAAGATTTGTATTTTTGTATGTATTCCATTCACGTAAAAAATTACTGTCCGATTTTTTAAATTCTTTTTCCATGTTCAGATTTTGATTAATTTCACCGTATATAGTTCATAGTTTTTTTTAATACATAGTTTTTTTTTTAATGAGTATTGACTATTTCAATACATAGTTTTTTTTAATGAGTATTGGTTTCTTAAAGATTATCAAACTTTACAGCTAATAATACAGTAATATGTGTATTTAGTACCAATTCTAGTGTCAACAGCCAGTTAGACGCTGTTGGTTTAGATGAGTCTAGTAACACTGATTACTAGTGAAAAGTGGAGCTTCTCTTAGTAATGTGTAATAAAGTGTTTACGATAATAAAGTTAACGGGTGTGTTAACATTAATCGCGGTCTACTCGTATTCAATAGCACATTAAACGTTATAAGTCCAGAGTTTCACTTCATTAACGCCAAGTGATGCCGACAACTAATACCGTCGGCTTTGCCACTGGAGATGGTGGTATATACTTATGCCGTCAAGTTCCGTGTTGCCGTTATTTACTGCCTTTTATTTTTTATATTCATTGTTCGTAACTATTTTAGTGATGTGTTTACGCTAGGCATTTTAGTAATTATAATTTATATCGATGTCGTTTACAATCGATATTTTTAGGCTTATACGTATAAGCTTATTTTAATAAAAAATTCAAATGTTTCATTCACAAGTCACATATATTTCTGGTTAATAATGATGCTCTGACCAATTTATTCGTAACATTAGTATAGCTAATGCGTCAACTTGTTCCAAAGCCTTATTAGTTGATTAAACTCGACGTTCTGTGGCGAGTCATCAACTCGCGACCACCTCAGCCACAGTTACGGGATAATCGAATGCAAAATTGTTTTATAATGCATCTACACGGATCTATGTTATAGCTTGAATACGATTAAATTGTTGAAGATAGCGGCTTTTTTAATTAGCTTTCTTGTCACATATTTTTTAAATATATTTACTGTTGATTGAAAATAAGATTACTATCGCCTACTTTCCTAATAACATTAAATGCGCCGAACTTTCTGGTTATTTCCATCTAAAAATCACAAGACACAGGCCTACCGCAACGCTCTCACCGATCAGTCTGCAGTTTGCGGTAACATATACAATAATGCATTGGTTTCCTTGCTTTACGTAACATTCTATTGAGAAGTATTACCATTATTTTCCACCTTTGACACAGTGCGCAAGCTAGTGCGGTAATATCAGCGCATTGCATCCGCCACGCCGACTGCTTCCGGTTTCTAATTGCTTCCGTTATAAGGCCACGGGTTCAAATCACATTAGTTTATATGTGTAACTTTAAAATTCGTTTCCACTGAGCACTTTAGTTAGTCACGAAGAGTTATAAGTTGCAATAAAGTTTGATGTTTGCAATTGTTAATAAAAAATGTTAAGAGAATAAAAAAAATGAGCGGTAACCCTCTTTTAATAATTTGTGGGACGTGTACCTGTTCTTTTAAAGAAATAGTAATTTGTTATATTATCTGACTGGTCATTGTTTGCATCTGTTTATATCTAACTTTTAGTTACTTCAATTCCGGTGTGCGTAATGGATTTACACACGGTTGGTTTACCGCGTTTGATTCGATTAATGTTTATTGACCGTTTGGGGGTTTGTGAGGTTGTAAAGGCGCGTCTGTCGATTGCCTTCTCGTATATACTGCGACTTATTTATTTACGTAAGCTCGTACGTGCATCGTTTCCGCCTTCGCCGAAACGAATACGCCAGTTTTATTGCACATAAAATAGTCGCATTCCAGTACTCAGGTCAATCTTCCCTTTAGTTGAATGGTTTTCATGTCGTGTAGATTGCAACTAATCTATTTGTGTTATGCATTATTTTTTTAATTGAATCTAGACGTCTGTCTGTGTATTTATTACTTTACCTAATGTGATGAATTGGTTTAAATCCCAGAGCAGCTACATTTATGGCCAATAATTAGAACTAGCAGCGAAGCTCGGGGCGTTTTTGAACATACCAATATTCCGCAACCCCTACCATTTGTTAATTTTAGACATAAATGTGTATTAATACTTAAAATCTTATTTTCAAATGCGGAATAATTGTAGATTATATAGGAAACTGTCGATCGTGATAGCGCAGTCATCTCATGTCGCACTATAAACTACAATCTTATCGCTTATCAAAATCAAGTCACACACGATAAACTGTAGATGGCGGTGGAATTAAATAGAAT